AAATCTTTAAAACAAAACAAAACAAAACAAAGACATTAAATATCTTTTAAAAATAATAGAGGACAGGGCAGTGCAACAGAAGCTTCAAGTACGGTAAAAAGACGCGAGACGTCATGAAGAATGAGCAGCCTCGTCAGGTCAGGGTGAGAGGAGTCACCTTTCACCACAAAGACAAACGGGCACGTTAACGTTAACTCGTGACGCGGGGATTCCGCCTTCCTGGCCCGGGACGCGGCCCGGCACCGGAGCCAAGCCCGCCAGCCTACCCAGACATCTCGGAAACTCCAAACCCGAGGTGCCACGCTTTAGGTTCCGGAAAGAGGCGAGCCGGGCCGCCCCGTTAGTCCGCGAAGAACCAACGACCGCGGGCCCCGCCTCTCCCGCCTCCCCCGCCTCCCGCCGGCGGATGTCCCGCCTCCCTCACCTCCAGTTACGACCGGCCCCGCCTCCCGTCTGCGGATGCTCCGCCTCCTGATAGGTCCGGGCCCGCCCGCGGAGGCGGATGTCCCGCCTCCTGTTAGGTCCGGCCCCGCTTCCGCCGGCGGAAGTCCCGCCTCCTATCACGGCCAGCCCCGCCTCCTATCACGGCCAGCCCCGCCCCCCGCCGGAGGAGGTCCCCGCGCTCGCTCAGTTGCCCGCGCCAGAGGTCGGGAGGCTTCCCGTCAGTGAGGCTGAGTCACGACCGGAAGGCGGGAAGAGCTGGTGTCGGTTCCCGGCAGCGAGGGCCTGGTGACGCGGTACGGGCAGCGCGGCGCGGAAGGGAAGCAGAGCGGAGCCGGGGTGTCGCGGGAGGGGAAGAGGGCGCATCCTGACCCGCCGCCCACAGCCGCCCGCAGGTGCCGCAGCCCCCGCAGCCGCCCGCAGGTGCCCGCAGCCGCTCGCAGCCCCCCGCAGCCGCCCGCAGCCCCCCGCAGCCGCTCGCAGCCGCCCGCAGGTGCTCGCAGGTGCTCGCAGCCCCCCCGCAGCCGCCCGCAGGTGCCCGCAGCCGCTCGCAGGTACCCGCAGGTGCTCGCAGCCGCCGCAGGTGCTCGCAGCCGCCCGCAGGTGCTCGCAGGTGCCCGCAGGTTCTCGCAGCCGCCCGCAGGTGCCCGCAGGTGCTCGCAGCCGCCCGCAGGTGCTCGCAGGTGCCCGCAGGTTCTCGCAGCCGCCCGCAGGTACCCGCAGGTGCTCGCAGCCGCCCGCAGGTACCCGCAGGTGCTCGCAGCCGCCCGCAGGTGCTCGCAGGTGCCCGCAGGTTCTCGCAGCCGCCCGCAGGTGCTCGCAGGTGCCCGCAGGTGCCCGCAGGTGCCCGCAGCCGCTCGCAGGTGCCCGTGGCTCGGCGCCGGCCCCGGCCTGCGGAAGACCAGAACCGCTCTGACCCGCTGTGTGTGCTCCCTGGGACTCTAGGGTAGGACGGCGCCGCGGTTCGCCACAGCTGGGAGGGTCTTGAATTGGCCAATACACTTTTTTTAGTCATAATAATTAATTTTTGTTTTCATTTATCTTGTATCGGATTATGATTTACAACTTCATTTAATCATTTTAACAATGTGAGGAGATAATCACCATCAAATACAACAGATGAAGAAATAAAGTTGTGACCCGTACCTGAGGTTCCATTCTAGATGCAAACCCAGGTCATTTGTAGATTGTCCACAAGTCCCTTTTTATTTTTTATTTTTAAAGATTTTATTTATTCATGAGAGACAGAGAGAGAGAGGCAGAGACACAGGCAGAGGGAGAAGCAGACTCCGTGCGGGGAGCCCGATGTGGGACTGGATCCCAGGACCTCAGGGTCACCTGAGCTGAAGGCAGACGCTGAACCACTGAGCCACCCGGGGCCCCACAAATCCCTTTTTAAATTGGATCATCACGGCCCTGCAGGGAGCCTGCTTCTCCCTCTGCCTGTGTCTCACCTCTCTCTCTGTTTCTCATGAATAAATTAAAATCTTTAAAAAAAAAAAGTTGAAAAAAGGGAGAACACCCAGCCATCCAGGGAATCCAACCACACTGGGAGTTTGGAGGAGGAGGAAGAGAAGAATGGATTCTGAAGAGACTGAACCATCTCCCTCCAAGGAAAGGCACTGGGACCAGACAACGCCTTCTGTAAACAAGGGAAGGAGAGAATGAGACAAAGCAGCCCGTTGGGCAGGGCCTGAAACTAGAGGAAAAGACTAGACAGCAGCGAGGTCCCAGGGGTCAGCCACAGGCCCTGAGCTTGCCTCCCTCCCTCTGCTCCCATGACCGCTCCCCATGCACCTAGATGCCGCCTTGAGGGTGCTGAGCCAGTGTTCTGATTACTGCTGTGTAACGAGCCACTCCAGGGTCAAGAATCGGGAAAGAGTAGAATGGGGACAGTTTCTCTTTGGAAATCTCTGGGACTTCAGCTGGAAGACAGAGCCTTAGAGGTGACTTGACAGGCTGGCGCTGGCATTACCTGCAGTCATTCACGAGCTCGGAGGTTATGCTGGCTGTGGGTTGGGATCCATGTGGCCTCTCCATAGGTCTGCTTCCTCACATCAGGGTGGCTGGATTCCAAGGGAGAGCATCCCAAGAGATTGCAGAGGAGATCATCTTTTTTTTTTTTTAAACTTTGTGTTACTTCCATCTTAGTCACAGGCCCACCCAAATTCAAGAGGAGAGAATATAGATTCCACCCCTCATTGGGAGGAGTGTCAACATCACATTTAAGAAGAGCATGTGGGGGGATCCCTGGGTGGCTCAGCGGTTTAGTGCTGCCTTCAGCCTAGGGTGTGGTCCTGGAGACCCGGGATCAAGTCCCACGGGCTCCACGCAGGGAGCCTGCTTCTCTCTCTGCCTCTCTGCCTCTCTCTGTGTCTCTCATGAATAAATAAAATCATAAAAAAAAAAACAAAGCATGTGGTGGGGCCCCTGGGTAGCTCAGTTGGTGAGGTGTCTGCCTTCTGCTCAGGTCGTGATCCCAAAGTCCTGGAGATGGAACCCCGCATTGGGCTCCCTGCTCTGCAGAGAGTTTGCTTCTCCCTCTCCCTATGCCCCTCCACTCCTGTTCATGCTCTCTGTCAAATAAATAAACTTTGAAAAAAAAGAAGAGTATGTGGTATGGAATATCTTGCACAACCCTTATGAAGAATTAAGAGGAATAACGGGAGAACAGTTACCAAGAAGGACTGAGTTAGCCCCAAAACACTATGGGGCTACATTTCTTTATAACCACTTCAAAGTTTAGTGACTTGAAATAATTTGCTATTTCTCATGATTATGTTGATTGGCTGGGGCTCTGCTGGGCTGTTCTTTTTTTTATTATTACTTTCAATTCAATTAATTAGCATATAGTGTATTATTAGTTTTGGAGGCAGAGTTCATCGATTCAGTGGCTTTTAATACCCAGGGCTCATTCCATCACGTGCCCTCCTTAATTACCCAATTTGTTTCCTGTGGTTAAGAATCTCAGGGTCAGAGCAGCCCGGGTGGCGGGTGGCGCAGCATTTTAGTGCCACCTGGAGCTCAGGGTGTGATCCCGGAGACCCGGATCGAGTCCCACAGCAGGCTCCTTGCATGGAGCCTGCTTCTCCCTCTGCCTGTCTCTGCCTCTGTGTGTGTGTGTGTGTGTCTCATGAATAAATAAATAAAATCTTTAAAAAAAATCTCGGGGTCAGCTGGGCTGGTTTTTTGTTTTGTTTTGTTTTGTTTTTTAAGCTGGGCTGTTCTGATGGGAGTTTGGCTTGAGCTGTAACAATCAAGATAGCTTTAGGCCTCTCTCCATGGTGGCCTCTGTCTCTGGCAAGGTGACTAGACCTCTTACATGCAACGAACTTCCAGGAGAAATGTTCCAACCAAGGCAGACGGGAGCCACAGATCTGTTAAGGCTTGTACCCCAGAAGCTACATATGAGGGCTTCCATCCCATTCTAACAGGTAATCAGGGCCAACTCTGTTTCAAAGGGAAAGGAAATAGACTCCACCTCTTCAAGGGTGGATGCCCAGCTCACATTGCAAAACAGTTCCTGGGATGGGAGATATTGATGTGGTCTCTTTGGAAATACAATCACCACTACTATGCAAAACAGGAAGGAACTGAGAGATCTTAAATTAGGTAGTTAGATTTTCCCCTGTTTCTCCCCATCTTGTGGGACAGAGGCTTAGGAACAAGGTTGGACCAGTTATAAAATATGCTACCTTCCCCACACACAGACATATTTGAGGATAAAGAGTAAATTGTGAGCCAGTATATATGTCGAAATATTAGTCTGCACTAGAAAGAGCCTTGGTATTAAGAAATAAAATTGAAGGGACACTTGGGTGGTGGCTCCATCGGTTAAGCGTCTGCCTTCAGCTCAGGTCATGATCCCGGGGTCCTGGAATAGATCCCTGCATTTGGGCTCCCTGCTCCAGGAGCCTGCTTCTCTCTCTGCCCCTCCCTCTGCTCGCGTTCTCTCTCTCTCTCACATGCTCCCTCTCTCTCTCAAATAAATAAAAAATCTTTTATTTTATTAATAAAAATCTTTTAAAAAAGAAAATTGGAGAACAAATTTGGATCAGGATGGGAAATAAATTTTGGTTTTGCTACTAAAGCTTTTGTACCTGTATCTATCCATCATATCAGTGCTTTCTGTGACTTTACAAACACCTCAACATGGACCAAATGATCAGGTGAGACTTTGAAGCCTAATTCACTGTTTGTTTCCTTTGCTCTCATCCTGGTTCAATCCACCACCATCCCTCACCTAAGCCACTGCGGACGACTCCAAATGAGTGTCCGTGCATGTACAGTTGTCCTCTTCCAACCCATTCTCCATTTACATATCTTTAAGATACATAGTTAAGCACTCGATCCTAAGAATATACTTTTAATGCAAAAAGAAAAAATTCACATAACTTTCTTGTTCGGGCTTTCGCTGTAATATTTTCAGATCCTTATAGCAGGAAGAAACCTTAGAGACCAACTCTTTTATTTTAAGAATGAGGAAAGTGAACCTTACAGAAACTAAACAAGCAGCTCAGAGGCACAGCGCTTAGTAATTGGCACAAGATGGAACATGACTCTTTTTACTCATCACATTACCTTTCAAGTAAAGAGGGAAAACACATGATAGTAATAATACCTTATATTTTTATTTTGTTTAAGTTTTATTTAAGTAATCTCTACACCTCACGTGGGGCTTGAACTCATGACCCTGAAATCGAGTGGCACACCCCACCGACGGAGCCAACCAGGTACCCCAATACCTTACACTTTTCTAACCCATATTTATACTTTTCAAAACATTTTTAAAATCTGATTTTATCTTTACAGCGACCCTGGGACGTCAGCAGGGCAGGTGGTATTATCCTCTACTTGTAAAACTAAGACTGGGAGGTACTGAGAGATTCGGTGACTTGTCTGAGCCTCTAACAGGTTGGTAATAGATTTGGACCTAAAAATACTGGTTTTCATCATACTCTCATGCTCTTTAGATTTTTTTTCCTTAAAAAAAGTGTTTTGTTTTTAAATGTGCTTATTGTAACCAGTCAACACAGAAATGTATGGTGAAACTTTCTTAAGCAAGAATAACAAAACAAAAAGAAATCATAAAGGAAAAGACATATTTGGCTACCTAAAAAAAAAAAATTAAGACTAGGGATCCCTGCGTGGCTCAGCGGTTTATCACCTGCCTTCGGCCCAGGGCCTGATCCTGGAGACCCGGGATTGAGTCCCACATTGGCCTGCTTCTCCCTCTGCCTGTGTCTCTGCCTCTCTCTCCTCTCTCTCTCTCTCTCTCTCTCTCTCTCTCTGTGTCTTTCACGAATAAATAAATAAAATTTTAAAAAAATTAAGACTAGGGATCCCTGGGTGGCGCAGCGGTTTGGCGCCTGCCTTTGGCCCAGGGCGCGATCTGGAGACTCCGGATCGAATCCCACGTCAGGCTCCCGGTGCATGGAGCCTGCTTCTCCCTCTGCCTGTGTCTCTGCCTCTCTCTCTCTCTCTCTCTCTCTCTCTCTCTCTCTCTGTGTGTGTGTGTGTGTGACTATCATAAAATAAATTTAAAAAAATTAAAAAAAAATTAAGACTAAAGATAGCATACCATAGAGAAAAAAAAAACTAGAAACACACTCAGAAATTTTCCAACACATATGACTAATAGAGTATCTCTAATACACAGAGTTCCTACAAATTGATAAGAAAAAGGAAGAAAACGAAAGAAAAATGAGGAAAGGATATGAATAGGTAATTTGTAAAAAAAGGAACTCCAGGTGGCTAATAAACATGTGAAAAGGTGCTAGTAGCCAAGAGACCAGAAATTAAAAGAATACTGATATGTCATATTTCTTTTTATTTTCCCTGATATATCATTTTTCACTCATCAGACTAATAAAAAGAAACGAGTGATAATATTCAGAAACTTGAAGGATGGAATAAGGCACTTCGTTGTGGGTGGGACTGTAAGTTACTATACTATATTTTTAAAAAAGTAATCTGGCAGTAAATACTCAACATAGACATATTCACTTTTGTCCAGCTACGCCACCCTTAAGAACCTAGCTTACTGAGACAAAATCATAAGTACATGAGGCCAAATGTAGAAAGATATGTTACAACACTGTAGTAGCAAAAAAGTGGAAATATCATGAATGCCCATCAGCAGGGCAATGACTGAGTTCCAGTATGTCTTCCCGCAGAATATTAGACAGTTATTTCGAAGAATGGGACAAATCTATATATACCTGTCGTTTTATATTACTGAGCATCTGTGATCCCCTTTGGCTCTTGAGCCTCTGAACCTACTTCCTATGTTTGAAGGACTCCCACCCACTTCCTCCTTAGAAGATACAGTTCCCTCCCACCATAAAATACTAGATACTCATATTTCTAGTTCCCACTGCAGCTGGAAACTCTGCAGTTTAGATGCTGCGGTCCCGCATCTTGAATTGGGAACAGGTGAGGAAAAGCAGCAGGGAAGACGGGGAGTGATTCCTGGTCAGGGTTATCCAGTCTCTAGAGGGGACAGTGACAGTGGCCCGATGAGCAGCGCGCAGTGTCCAGCACCCGGTGCTGACTACGTGACTTGGATGGCCCAGTGCAAAAGGAAAATGCAGGGCCCCTTGTTCAATCTTCGGAATTTCAGGATGGAAACCGCAGAGCATCAAACCAAGAGCATGGCCTTCCTAAGTGCAGGGTCACGGGCGACTGCACAGCTCACACGTCCCTGGAGCCAGTGGGGAGAGTACCAGTCAGACATGCAAGCCGCACTGTCGTGCCCAGTGACAGTGGCAGTTCAGGGCACCAATTCTGCAGGATAATCAGGAATAATTTAAAATCGGGGCGCCTGGGTGGCTCAGCCAGTGAAGCGGCTGCCTTCAGCGCAGGCCAAGGCTCCCTGCTCAGTGGGGAGCCTGCTTCTCCCTCTCCCTCTGCCCTCCCCCCTGCTTGTGCTCTCTCTCTCCCAAATAAATAAATAAAATCTTAAAAAAATAGAATTACAATATCATTTAGTAATTCACTTTTGGGTATTTATCCAAAGAAAACACAAACACTTATCTCGAAAAGATGTTTGTACTTTCATGTTCACTGCAGTATTATTCACAATAATCAAGATATGAAAACAACTGACGTCCCCAGTGATGGATGAGTGGATAAAGAAGATGTGGGGTGTGTGTGTGTCTATAATGGAATACTACTCATAGAAAAGAATTAAATCTTGCCATTTGTGACAACAAGGATGGGCCTTGAGAACATTATGGTCAGTGAAACGAGTCAGAGAAAGGCAAATACAATATGACAGTACTTATATGTGGAGTCTAAAAAACTAAGCTCATAGCAGATTGGTGGTTGCCAGAGGCAGAGGTTGGGGGTGGGCAAAAAGGGTTAAGGAGGTCAAGGGGACAAACTTTCCATTATAAAATAAGTTCTAGGGATGTGATGTACAGTGTGGTGACTGGACTTAATAATATTGTATCGTTTATTTGAAAGTTCCTAAGAAAGTAGACCTTTTTTTTTTTAATTTTATTTATTTTATGATAGTCACACAAAGAGAGAGAGAGAGAGAGGCAGAGACATAGGCAGAGGGAGAAGCAGGCTCCATGCACCAGGAGCCTGACGTGGGATTCAATCCCGGGTCTTCCGGGTCTCCAGGATTGCGCCCAGGGCCAAAGGCAGGCGCCAAACCGCTGCGCCACCCAGGGATCCCCTAAGAAAGTAGACCTTAAAGGTCCATACAAGAAAAAAATTGGGGGGCACCTGGGTGGCTCAGCGGCTGAGGGCCTGCTTTCAACTCAGGTTATAGTCCTGGGGTCCTGGGATTGAGTCCCACATCGGGCTCCCCACAGGGATCCTGCTTCTCCCTTGCCTATGTCTCTGCCCCTCTCTCTCTCTCTCTCTCTCTCTCTCTCTCTCTCATGAATGAATAAATAAAACCTTAAAAATTTTTTTTCTGTAACTACATATGGGGATGGATTTTAACTAAATATTATGGTGATCGTTTCACAGTAAACAAATACTGAATCATTATGTTGTCCAACTGAAACTAATGTAATGTTATATGTGAACTTAAGATCTAAAATGTCGCTTTTGTCCTTTTCCAACTACTTTAAAAGACTATATAAATTATTTTCTTTCATTTAGAAAAATGTAAAAGTTGAGAGAGTGAGAAACTTAATAATTTGTGTAAGGTCATAACCAGTTAATTTTGGAGATTAGAATTTAGGTCTTCTGGCCATAATTTCAGGGGTCTTTTTTTTTTTAAGTTAAAAAAATTTTTGTAATTATAGAAGGAAATATTCAGGCCAGGAAATACAGTTTTTATTCTGAGAAGTTATATGCCCAATTAAAAATTATATTAATCTAGAAGTGGCAGGGGGGTGGATTATATCAGGGAACTGTTTCTGAAACCAAATAATCATTTTTTTAAGTTGCACCTAGCTGTGCTGCTGTGGACAAATTGTTTGACTTTCCTGGGTTTCAGTTTTCTCCTGTGTAAAATGTACCAATACTATCCTCGTTTTGCTGCGAGCTCGTCTAGCATGATGGTCAAGAAAGAATCCTGGAGACATTTGACGGCTGCAACTTAGTAAGTTTATTTGAGTGGCACCGGGACAGGACCCATGGGCAGAAGGGCTGAGCTGTGGCTGTGAAGCTGGCGGTCACAAGCCTAGTGCTCCAAGGGGAGGGGACATGCAGGGGGCGTCAGAGCCTAAGGGTTTCTTTGAATGTCTACTTGGTGAAACTCCTTCGAAAGGTTTCTCTGGTGCTTGTCGCTCAGCCTGGTATTAGCCATCAGTGAAACGTGCGGGCAATGGTGAGGCCCTGGTATATTTTAATGGCTCAAAAAATGATGCAAATGATCAAAGTAGTCTGATCCAGACTTTTTTAGGAAATGACTGACCCTGTGCCTGGTTCCTGACGAGAGGAAAAAGAAGGGATAAAATTCAGGAGCGCTTCGAGGCCTGAATGATGACTTCGGGATGTCCGATGCAGAAGGAAGAACCTGGAAGCTCAGAGAGGGGCTCAGGGCAGGGCCGGGGGCTAGAGGCTCTGGCTGCAGGGTCCTGGCCCGGCTCCCTCCCTGGCGGCCCTCAGCCAAGTGCACAGTACGCACGACTTGTTTTTCCTCAATTTTGTGTTGCGGTAAAATACACAGAACGTAAAACTTACCATCTGGGCCCTTGTGACGCGTACAGTCCCACGGTATTAGTGATGAGGGAGCAGAGGGAGCTGAGGACAAAGTGAGGCTGACCCCCCTCCCTGCAGGTGGGGTGTGTGGGACACTCCCCAGGCTCGGGCTGCCCTAAGCGTTTTTAGCCATAACCTGGCTCCAGAAGGAAACGCAGGTACCCTTAAATGTCCTGATCACCTGCAGCCCAGGGGCGGGGACTTGAAGGGGCAGAGGGCCCGTTCTTTCCCGACTGTCCTGATGTTAACGCCTGGCTAGAGGGAAAAGGACCGTAAGGTGACAATAGCAAGGCCTCCAGGGTCCCGTAGGTCCTCTTTACCACATGAAAATCCCTTTGAAGCCTCCCCCTTCCTTACCTCTCCCAACTCCCCAGAACATCACCAGCCCTCACCAGGCAGCAGCTCTCTGCCCGTGGGAGCTGTCCCCTGTCCCAGGGCTTTCATAAACCCACCACCACTGAGCACCAAAGACATCTCTGGGGTCGTCTGCTCAGGACACCACACCTCACCTATATTCCAAAAGGACATCCTTAACTACGTCCATAGTAGTCGGGGATACTTAACTGCCGGAGCCACCCGGGCGCCCCCCACCACCAGCCTTCTGCTTCCCGCTCAAGATTTTGACCAAGCACTCACCGGATGGCATCATTCCCGGCCTGTTTCACCAGGTGGCCTGTCCTCAGGGCTCACCCACGTTGCGGCAAACACCAAACACCCGCCTTTTTAAGGCTGAGTAACACTCCACTGTATAAGGTTCAGAAGACTTTTTGTTATATTAAAAAGTACGGTCTGAAAAAAAATCATGATCTGGGGGCGGCCCCCCTGCGAGGTGTTTGGGGAAAGACACCCGCTTCCTCCATCAGGGTGCTCCCCGCTGATGGGCTCTGAGAGAATAAGTTGCATTTTGCACCCGGGAAGGGCTACCACAGCTAGTGAGCCCAGGGTCTTCCCTACAGAACTGTCTGGAAATTCACCTTTTATTTATTGTTGAAATTCACCTTTTAAAGAGAAGAAGTGAAGGCAGGACAAAGAAAGGTGTGGGGGGATCCCTGGGTGGCTCAGCGGTTGAGTGCCTGCCTTTGGCCCAGGGCATGATCCTGGAGTTCAGGGATCAAGTCCCATGTGCATGGAGCCTGCTTCTCTCTCTCCCTGTGTCTCTCATGAATAAATAAATACAATCTTTAAAAAAAGAAAGATGTGGGGATCCCTGGGTGGCGCAGCGGTTTGGCGCTTGCCTTTGGCCCAGGGCGCGATCCTGGAGACCCGGGATCGAATCCCACGTCGGGCTCCCGGTGCATGGAGCCTGCTTCTCCCTCTGCCTATGTCTCTGCATCTCTCTCTCTCACTGTGTGACTATCATAAATAAAAAAAAAAAAAGAAAGAAAGATGTGGGGATGGGTGGAACTAATTATTCCAGGGTGCAGCTGCCTGGACGGCATTCTGCAGCTAGCTAGGGCCAAAGAGTGAATTCAGGAGTTAGATGTTATGGGACCAGAAAACGAACTTAGGAAACCTGCCTGTTTTTAGTGTTTCTTTCTTTTGGATTCCTATTGAAAACTGGAAGGGGGATTGGAGATGCGCGCTGAGGTCGCCGAGCTTCTCACCCAAGGGCGAGGCCACAGAGCGACGGGGTGGGGAAGGAGCCTTCCACCCTTAGAGACCCGACTCCAGAGGGGGAGTTTTCTGCTGAGTAAGTTCCCAGGAGGTGAGGTCAGAGGAGACCTGAGAGTGCCCAGGACGCGGGGATCCGCCCATCGTTGCCCCCAGGGGCCGGCCCTCCCCACCAGGGGCCCAAGCGGCGGTGCCAGGGCCTTTCCCCGGCCCAGGCTCTGGGAAGACCAGGCTTTCGCGCATCTGATCACAGCGTCTGACCCCGACGTCAGCGCGGCCCCGGGCTCCCGGCCAGCACACCTCACCAGGTTCCCCGGAACCCCTATCGTCCCCTGCCCTCCTCCTCAGGGCTTCTCCCCAGGTGACGTCAGCGTGTTAATCACCTCTTTCAGCCGCAGGCGGCGGGCACCCTCCACCCACAGGAAGCCCAAGTTCCTCCCCTAAGTCTTCCAGGCTCGGCGCCTCCCGGGTTTCCCGTCCCTCTCCCTCCCCAACTTCCTTCTAGAACCTGACCCTGACCCTTTGCTCTCCCATTGCTCAGAATCTTCCATCCCACCCTCTGCTGGGGACCCCACTCCCTACGTAGTCTAAGGGGGGAGGCGGGAGACCCCGCGCGGCGCAGGGCGTCGGGGCCGCAAAGCCAGCCGCCGCCAGGGGGCGACCTCGTCTCGCGAAAGGCGAGGGCCCTCAGCTCGAGAGCAAGCCGCGGCGCTAACTCCGTTACGTAGCTTCTGTCTTGTAGCCAACTCGCTCTCGCTCTCTCTTTTTTAAAAAAGATTTTACTTATTCAGGAGAGGCACAGAGAGAGGCAGAGACCGAGGCAGAGGCAGAAGCAGGCTCCACGCGGGGAGCCCGATGTGGGACTCGATCCCGGGACCCCGGGGTCACGCCCTGAGCCCAAGGCAGAGGCTCCACCGCTGAGCCAGCCAGGTGTCCTACGTCTCCTTTTTTGTCTCCTTTTTTAGATAAACAAGAGCATACTTTTCATAGTCTACACCTCACTTTATTCACTTGAAAGCTTTCTCTTGTTTTTGAAAGTTATTATTTTTTAAGGATTTTATTTATCTATTCATGAGAGACGCACAGAGAGAGAGAGAATGAGAGAGAGAGAGAGAGGCAGAGGGAGAAACAGGCTCCATGCAGGGAGCCCGACGCGGGGCTCCATCCCTGGTCTCCAGGATCACGCTCTGGGGCAGCAGGCAGGCGTCAAACCGCTGAGCCACCCAGGGATCCCCTGAAAGTTATTTCTTGATGATCATTCCATAGTAGCATATTCCTCATTGCCTTTTTTTCCCCTGGAAGTCGGCTCTATGCCAAGGTGGGGCTTGAATTCAAAACCCTGAGATTGAGAGTCTCATGCTCTACGGACTGAGCCAGCCAGGCACCCCCTCACTGCTTTCTACAGTTGCATAATACTCCCTTGTGTGGAGGTACCATAGTCTTGTTCACAGAAGTTTAGGTTGTTTCCAGCTATTACCGTGCCGCATTTAGTAACATTCATTCCTTTGTGTGTGTGTATTTATATACACATACGTACACACACACACACACACACACACACACATATATATATAATTTTTTTTGGAGAATCTTTGGGATAGATTTCTAGAAGTGGAATTAATGTGAGAAGCAAAGACGAAAGAGAATTTTTCTTACTGGGCGCCTGGGTGGCTTAGTGGTTGAGTGTCTGCCTCCAGCTCAGGTCGTGACCCTGGGGTGCTGGGATGGAGTCCCGCATCGGGCTCCTTGCATGGAGCCTGCTTCTCCCTCTGCCTGTGTCTCTGCCTCTCTCTCTGTCTGTATCTCTCATGAATAAATAAATACAATCTTTAAAAAAAAAAAAAAAGAAAATTTTTGTTACTACTTAGAGCCCTTTGACAAGTCCTTGAAACAGGCAGTATGACCTTCTGGGGACTCAACTGTCTCCAAGTTAATACTTTGCTAAAGGCAAATGTAATCTTAGCTTAACATTATCTCTCCCACCCCACCCCCAGGATTTTGTAAGTCCTCTTTAAACATACAAAAATTCCTTTGGAAACTTCCTTTATCTCCACCTTCCGAGACATATGTTGGCGATCATCCCCCAAGCATATGACCCACTGATAGACATCTGCAGGGTCTCCTGACTAGTGTTTTATTAGACGGTAATAAATTACCTTCTCCTAACAACAGCTAACTCCCTTGGGATCCTGGAAACCTTGCTTCCAAAATTCCTTAGAGACTTTCATTATCCCTAAGCCCCTCCCCACTCGCAATACAGTCGGGTCACTCCTCTGGACCCTGGTGCAGCTCTTTCTGCCCCGTGGGTCCTATCCCCTTGCTTTAATGAAACCACTATTTTGCCAGGCGCCTGGGTGACTCAGTCAGTTAAGCATCTGCCTTTGGCTCCGGTCATGATTCCAGGTCCTGGGATCTGGCCCCTAGTTGGGCTTCCTGCTCCCTTCTTCTTCTCCCCCTGCCCTTCCTCCCACTTCATGAACTCTCTCTCTCTCAAATAAATAAAATCTTAAAATAAAAAAAAATTTTAAGCCACCATTTTGGACCGATGTCTCAAAAATTCTTTCTTGGCCATTGGCTCCAAACCCCAACCATTTCCTACAAGAGAATTGCTTAATAAAAAGGTAATAAAATGTATTGCTGGTTGGGCCAGCTGGATATTGCCAAATCCCCTGTGGTAGAAGTTGTACTCCTTTGCATTTCCACACTCAGCATATCAGAGTGCCTGCTTCCTCACAGCCAGGCCAACAGAGTGTGCTATCAACAGTTTAGATGTACGCCAATCTCAAGGGTGAGATACATATCTTCATGTCATTTTAATGTGCATTTTTTAAAAGTTATGAACAATGTTGTACATTTTCATATCGTTAACAGCAATTTATTTCTTTTCCTGAGATATGCCTGATGATAACGCTAGCCCAGTTTCTTTTTTTTTTAAGATATGCTATTTTTTTTAAGATTTTATTTATTCATTCATAAGAGACACAGAGAGAGGCAGAGACACAGGCAGAGAGAGAAGCAGGCTCCATGCAGGGAGCCCGATGTGGGACTCGATCCCAGACCCCAGGATCACATCCTGAGCTGAAGGCAGAGGCTAAACCACTGAGTCACCCAGGTGGCTCATAGCCCAGTTTTCTATAAGGTTTATTAGGTTGTTTTCTTCTGTATTTTTATTTTTTAAAGATTTTATTTATTTATTCATGAGAGAGACACAGGCAGAGGGAGAAGCATGACCTCTGCAGAGAGCTCTATGTGGGACTTGATCCCAGAACCCCAGGATCATGACCTGAGCCAAAGGCAGATGCTCAACCGCTGAGCCACTCAGGAGCCCCTCTCCTGTATTTTTAGAAGACTTTTTTTTTATTCAGAGATATTAACTCTTTGTTTATAATTTATAACATTTTTCCC